TGGCTGCTCGGAGGGCTGAGGCAGGAGAATCTCTTGAGCCCAGGAGTTCGAGGCCACAGTGTGCTCTGATTGCATCTGCAAATAGCCACTGCACTCCGGCCTTGTGCAACATGGTGAGACACCATACCTTAAAAAAACAAATCAAACAAACAAACAAAAAGTAAACGAAAGGGAAGGAAGGCATGGTGTGTTGCTGTTTGAGATTCTGCAATTTTTTTTTAATGGCAAAGATGCACCTTAATTCTAATACTAGAACATCATAGCTTAATGTGCAAGAAAAAGCATTATGTATATTAATTATTAGTATGATCCTTATTTTTAGGTTGTCTTTTATTTATTTAAAATGTTACATTAGTAATATATAAATGCCTCTGCATATTAAAACTTTATGAAGAAGTGTATGGAGCAAAAAGTGAAAATTTTCCAAGCAAACTGTATTCCTTGGGGATATGTATTGGTGTATATCTTTCCAGACCTTTCTGGTGCATTTAATACCTATGTGCTTTTGCTTTTTAAGAATTTCTTAGAATTCTAGTTTTTTCTATTTTACGTAAGTGAGAGCACCCTATATCCAGTAGATAGTCCTTTCATTAAATGTTTTATACTACCTTTATTAAAGACATTGGCACCCAGAAAAAAAGAGATATTAGATGATAGTGATAATTATGATAGGTTTATAATGCTTTTTCCTTTGCAGGCATTATTCTCAGTGCTTTACTTATTTTAACTTATTTAATCCCCACGACTCTATGAGGCAGGTGTTATTATCCCCCACTTTATAGATAAGGAAACTGAGGCAGAGGAATTTAGTAGCTTGCCCCATTTTACACAGGAAATGGAGCGACTTAGTTCCCACCTAGGCCATCTGGCTCCACGGTCTATACCACCCTGTTCTGCTAGTTTTGTATTTTATATGAAAGGGCTAGGCATAGACAAAATGAATGCGCTATTTGGGAATTAAACAAAACCTCACTGACAAGTTGGCTTATTTTCTTCCCTTCTGTGGCTGTTACACAGTTTGTATTCTTTGCTCAGGTGGGACAAGGAAGGGTCTTTTGAATTGAAAGGGTCAAATCTGAGTTTATGAATTCTAGCCTGTTTTCTGTTAAGAGATAGTAGATTTCTAAATCAGTTCTGATTTTATTTACTCTTCATTGTTTAGAGCATGCCTGACTTTCATGATACTTGTGAACCTTCTAAAATGAATATCTTCCTTTAAATTTGAAGTCTCCTGATCATTTTCTATTTTCAAAAAAGAAAAGAGATTGCTGTTAAAAAGAAAAAACACAGAATATTTGTGTCTTAGTTTCTAAATACCATTCTACAATAAAACAAATCAGGAATCCTTGCAGTGGTGATTGATTCCAAATTCAGGGAAATAGAAGACGAGCCTAGAATATGTTTTAGTACCAGAAAGTAAGGAAATACAAAAAAAAAAGGAAGCAAGTCAAAGACACAAGAACCAACTTGAAGGAACTCTCATTGACCAAACCTGGGACATTTGGACAACAAAATAAATAATGATTGTGTTAGTAATGGGTTGTCATGTATATAATCTATGTAGTAAATATCCACAAGTGTCTGCTAAATTAATTAAAAGCAGATTGGAGATAAAGTAGCTCTTCCTTACAGTAGGATTCTAATGAATACATGTGGAAGGAGTGATGGAAATAATTTGCCAGTAGGCACTTACAAGTAACAGTTTTTGTAGACAAGTGCTACCAGTGGATGCGAAGTTAGAGACAATGTGAGAAATGGGGTATTTGCACAGTCTCAAAATATCTCTCCATGAGATACTTATTAATTTTACAAAGGAAAAACTAATAACTTTATGGCGGAGAAGCCTGACAGACATCACCTGAACCAGTGATCAGAGTTTACCAGCTCCAGTAATAAG